AGAAAACCTAACTCTTGGGAAATACAATCAGTATTTATTCATGTATAAAGGAGCTGCTTTTTTTCTTTCCACTTGAGTTTGAGGGGGAAAAAACTCCGAACACTATGAATATCGTCTTAATTATTACTTATCATCAGCGAAAAAACTTTACAGAGAGAGGATAAAAAAGAAATTAAGAGCTGAGTTGTTTTGATGGATGGGTGAATAAAATTAAACTAAGGGAGAAAAAAACAAAACAAAAATCAATTAAGCCTCCGCTTTTTAGTCCGTTAATTCACTCAGGTCTTTTTTTGAACGTTTCATTTAAGCGAAAATCAAACTATTTGATAAGGACAGATAAAAAGCGGTTGACTATCAAAACCAGATAGATGGATACTTGATTATATTATATTATACAGGTTATGACCAAATCATTTCTTGACAGGTTTTTAAACAGCTTTGTTGTTTTTTTACTTTCAGAAGACATACTCTTGGTGTTCACCAAGTTCTTCTCTCCTTTCTTGATGGATGTTTGTTTTCTTTGTTTATTTTAATAGAGTCTACTATTTCTCTAGTTTAAAAAAAATGACACGATTCTGTCATTTATGTTGATATTTGAGAAGTGATCACTTAATTTATAAAGATTTTCAAGTTTTGGTTTTTGTAGGGATTTTGTTTGATTGGTTGGAGGGTTTCTTCGTGAGCTGATATCGGTTAGAGAATCACTGGAAAGCCTGCAGGGAGTACTGGACAATGGTTCTCTAATTGATGTCAACTCATGGTGAAATCTCCCAACCAATCAAACAAAAAGATCCCTAGTTCTCATGTCTAAAACAGCATCAATATTCAAAGCATGATTTTTGATTCAGACTTACGTGTACTAAAACACTAATATACGATCTTAAAAGTTTTCGATAATCCTTAAATAAGTTTCATTTTGTTTTGAAAATTGAATAAAGCGGAAGTCATCTGGCCTCTAAAGTTATCTTGTGGTTTAGATTATGCGCTTTTTTAAGGATTTGGATTAGATTGATTGAAAACCATGCGTCGGTGGCACAACGGTAGAATGCTCACTGAACACGCATGTGGTCCGAGGTTCGAACCCCGGTTGACGCACTGCTTTACCCCACTAAGCCAGTTGTAAGACTGGTAAAGAGCAAAGGTTGGCCATGAGGCTAGCAACCTCATCCCGCAAAAATAAACATCAGTGTTGCAGAAACTTGAAAGATCTAGCTTGAAGACCTGTGTTCCATTAGGAACGTAAAGGAATAAAAAATGGTCATTGAAAACCAGAGAGAATTGGACAGCTGTTTAATTCTAATTTGGAACTCTTCAGCAGTATATAATTGCATCTCTACCACCAGAGGTCGAACTAAGGACCTTAAATGACCTCTAACTAATATACTCTAATTATTTTTTAAAAACCTCCGTGAACATTGATGAAAACAATTTGATAAAGAAAGTTCTACACTTTGATTGGACACTAGTAACTAATGCCAACTGTCTACTCCTTTCTTCGGTGCAGACTGAATTCTATCTGTCAGGTTTGCAGTGTAACCACCATTTTAGGTAGCTCGCCATCATGGTGCACATTAATTTGATGATATTAGATGGTTAGGAGCAATCGGTAGGAAGCCTTACTCGACCTAGGTTTCGTGCTAGTTGGCACTCACCAGTCTGCAAGGCGTTTCTAGTGTTCAAACAAAGTATCCAATGCAGTCTGACGGGAGGTCAGTCGCGAGCCCGAATACCTCAATGGTGCCGTCTCTGACTGCAGCACTGGGTAACGCGCGTCAGAATCTCAGAAGGGACATGAGTTCCTTCAAGTTTGCAGGCACGCCTTGCTGACTGATGAGTGCCAACTAGCACGAAATCTAGGTCCAGTTAGGCTTCCTTCCGATTGCCTCCAACCATCTAATATCATCAACATTTTACATTTTCAAACTTATCTGTGTTTTTTTTCTACACTCCAATTAAGTAGATATTTGTTGCTTCACAGTAGCATAAATTTGATATTGTTAACGGACAGAATGAAGTTAATTCGTTCTTTGGAATTCCATCACGTTTAAAAATAGTACTTGTCATTCCTGATTTCTTATGAGGTTAGAGCGTAGGATACGATTACCGAACAGAGCGTGAGTGGTCCTAAGTGGAGTAATTATTTTTATCTATATTGTTTGTATGTGGTCTATCCTAACCCAGATTTTATTATCAGGCTGAATTGTGGTTAGTAAATGTTAAGAATATGCTTGTTCTGTGCTCGTTGCGTATTGTCATTTTTAATTGAAAAATCTTATGTTCACTGCTTACGTCCGAGATTTTATTCAATATATAACAATTTATTAGCAGTCATTCCCGAACTTTCACAGCTAGATTCTATCTCATCTCGTAGATACAGAACACAAGACTGATGTCAACAAGGCTTTCAAAGTCATCTACCATATACCAACTAATCTTAACTTCGCCTTAAGAGTTCGTTTACTAAATATTGCTGAGGCTGTTGAGATCCACATTAAGAAGCCTGATTTATGTGTCCAAAAGAAGCTAGTTCAGACATTTTCCTTACCTTGGCCATCTGTGTTCGAATGATCCTGAATTTTTTGTGGGAATTTCCTGAATTTTAGTTTGTATTCTATTTGCTACTAAATTATTATTATAATTTATGCATCTTTAATGAACTGTAATTCCATTGATCTTACTTAACAAATCAATATTATTTAAAAAATAGTAATATTGTTACTGACTACTATTCTACGTATATAAGCATTTATATATATATATATATATATATTAGAGAGGTAGAAGCGAAAATCATCGAAAAAGATATTCTTTGCTGAATTATTTTTTTTTGATTAATAGGTGGAGATAAATATTTAATCTAAGTTAGCTTGGTCTCTGTCATTTTAGTGATCAAAAATGATGCCCACAGTTGATGGAATTTAAATGGAATAGTTCAATTTAAGTCCGTAGTAATCAAGGCGACTGATATATTTGGAGATTTTCATCATTCGTCTAACTGAACACCTGGTAGTTAGTAACTGGTGTTATACGTCTAGTTCTTTGTTTGATGCCAGTTGAATTCTCTTAGCCAAGTTTGCAGTGTGGCCACTTTACTAGGTGACTCGCCATCACAGTGAACTCTGAAATGTTGTTATTAGATGGTTGTAGGAAACCGGAAGGAGGCCATGCTCCTGGGTTTAGTGTTTGTTCACACTCCTTAGGCAGGTGTATCGGCGATCTTGACGGTATTCATGTCCCCTCTGAGTTTTGAACCCGTCTCACCCAGTGTTGCAGTCAGAGACGTTACCACTCAGCTATCCACGCACGCGACAGATCTCCTGTAGGACTTATATATAACTGGTTTTATTTTCTGTAATTATCTTTGGTAAATAGGATTACTTGAAGCTGGATAGTTCCAGTTGAGTCACTGTCTTATCATGTGTGACGAAGCACTCAGAGATACAAATACATATATTTTTCCAGACTTGATTACATCGGATAACGAAGGTGTTTCATATTTATTAGTTGAAATTATTTCTAATTTACCGGCGATCGATTTTCCTTAATCGGTAATTGTGGACACATTGGCTCCTGAATAGGATGTTGGGTACTGCTTTGGAGTCTCACTGGGAAGACAATCCGTCCCGGGAGGTGCACGTACATGTAGATGAGGAGTGGAAATGTGACTTTCATGAAAGTTAACGGAACGTGGTATAGCTGTGTTTACAGTTTACTTCTAAACAAGTTGATAATTGTAAAAAGTGTATAGTACCTCATGCAGTAGCACAGGAAGCTCAGCCATCGCATTTCAATAGAAGCTATCTGATTTTAATTCAATGGCAAAGGTTGTTTAAAATCTCTTCGCTTTTTCCAAATATTTTAAATATCTAATCCACCAGGAATCTAGGCATAATGGAAGAAGTTCTTCAAGATTAGACACTTGCCTTTCATTCACTACATTTTGCTTAGGAGTATAAGATTTAGTGAGGTGATACTAAATATTGTCAAATAATTATAAATAAGTTTAATGCCTTTAATTGGAGTAAGAGTGTAAGACTGGAAAGTATGAAGATAAACGATCCAAACTGTTAGCAGACAGCAATCTACTTCGATGGTTGAAATCCAAAGGAAGTCACTTCTGTGACCTGTACAAGATCGTTTCTTAACACAAGCACGAACGAAGATGTGTGTGGCAGCGTAAAAAAGTAAGACGGGCGTGTAAATATATCTACAGAACTTAGCACAACGAAGACGACCCAAATTTTTAACGCTAATATCAGGTTACCGCTTCTATATGGTCCAGAGACGCTTCCTATATGCTACGGAATTCTATGAATAGCTGCCTTTGGTCAATGCAGAATTTCAGATGACCAGCATGCTGGAAAGTATAAGCAGTGAACCAACCAAGAAACAGTCGTCCAACAAATCCACAGGAGAAAATAGAACTGGACTTGACGCATCCTAAAAAGATAGTCAAATGACGTCACATGCCAAGCAGACTGCAGAATGGAAAGCGACATACAAAGGTGACATGTAGGCCTCTGAATCCCTCTGTCCCAATAGCTACTTAAGTAATGAGTGATAACCGTTATACAAGAATAAACCAATTAGGAAATACTATCCTAACAGCTGAACTTCAGTTATTTAATTGTATTCTTTCATTATAATCTGCTAAGATATTTGTTTTTTTAAAGTAACGGTCGATTTTGTTCAATACAAAGGTGAATAACTATAACAATCGAAGTATTTTCGATAGCCTCTTAGTTAACAGGGCTACTCTCAAATATTGTAACACCCTGGAAACCGGACACATAAGCCGAAGTTATACAAAACTGTAAACCTTTGGTTAATTGAAAAATGTTCATTAATAAATGTAGCAAATAGTTGGGAATATTGTTGGAAAGTGGAGGCTATAAATGATGCATTACATGCTTGTATCCATATCTAGTGTTAGTTCTTCTTTCCTTTCCTATCAAACTGTTTATTGACATTTTACTTTACTACTTTAAATATACTTTTAGATTTTTTCCCATCTGGTCTGCTGCCAGTATTGCGAAAACAAGCATTAAAATGTGAAGAATATGCTGTTTGGAGAAATTGGTATGAAGGTAAGTTTAAGTTTTTATTGAGACTAGATCTCTACTTTCCAGTAGCATGATATTGTTTTGGGGACAGAACATAATAAATATTTGCAGGTGTATACCATCTCACGGTTAAATGTTCAATAGATATTGATTAAGATATAAAAAAGTAGCTGATTCCTAGCACTTCCATGCTATATCTTCTCATCTCTTCAGCATTGGGAGCAGTCCTCCTTCGTGTGGAGATTCCTTATCCCCATGCTTATTTTTCCTTTCATTGAGAGAAGATACACTGTCTGGCTGACTTCCCGAAAGCTTTCACCAGATAGCGTTATTTCGTGCGTCTAGTTCTAGAGAAGAATGAGCCCACTCTTTATATTTTCGTTGTAGTTTGAATTTTCTGTGGCGATTGGGTTGATTTTCTAGTCTCACGTCCAACTCCCTTCTTTTTCCGGACTTGGGTCCAGTTGACAAGAATGACGTGTTTAAAAGCCGTAAACACTCCGTATTCCTAGTCAGTCACGTATGCAAGTACTAGCCAGGCACACATTTGCTTAACTTTTGTGATCGACCAAGAGCAGGTGTTTTCCACATGCTACTTTCTCTGACAAGGAACTATTGGAAAGACTCAACAACGAACCCATCCCCCAAAAATATTCAGAGGGCGTTGGAGGTGGATCTGACGTGTGCTGAGAAAACCATTCAGAGAAGTCACACACCAGGCCCATGAGTGGAACTGAAGTGAGGAACAATGAGTTGGGTTTGGAAGTGGTCATCTAAGAAGAGGATGAGAGCTTATGGACACACATGTCACCAGATACAGATGACTACAGAGAGCAGGATGAAACGCAGATGTTCTGTTGAAGCTGTGTATTCCACTCGGAATTCAGAGGAGTAATAAAACAAGAGATAAGAAAATAACACTCTTCACTACTTGAAGGAATTGGTATAGTTTCTTTTATTGGTAAAACAATTCTTTTCATGAGCTGGTACATGGGCACAACAAACACCAAAAATAGAAAAAGGTAAACTCTCTAGTTTAACGGTGTAAAACAGTAGTGACTGAATCCAATATAAACTAGTTAACCATGTGATGGGTGTAGTATTGTTCATTGTACTAGATAAACTTAGAAATCTACCTGATATAAATATTATTTTGATAAAAATCAGGAAAACATATGTTATGAAACAAGGTAACCATGGTTATATGGATAAAAATACTAAAATACTTGTTTTTTTCTAATTAACACTGATGGTAATTCCGTCTATCATGGAGGAGACTGACAGTTATTCAGACATTTTATGTACACTACTCTTAAGAGAAATATATATATACTTTTAATTCATAAGTAGTTAACTGAAAAAGAATAAATAAACATACAGCATTCTAGAGTGTTGATGATTATTATGGCTATGCTGTTTGTTGTTATATTATGGTGTGCGTTCATGCCTATGTGGCTTCCTTTTTGAATGATACTGTTTTTTTTTTAAGAGCGGTAACATATGATAGCCGATATTTCAATCATTCTTCATTTAAAGTTGCTACTTTAACAGTTTGCTTTTTTTTAATTTTATCCGTGTAATTTTTAGCGTTTCAAACGTAAAATATTGTAGAAAAGACTTACCTTTTTTTACGGTATAGACAGTAGGACTGCTTAAATTGACGGACATTTTTCGTCATGAAGGCCAGTTTAATCAGCACATAAGCTTTTTGTCCAGTGAATAGTGTGATTTAATTATAGATCTTTAAGAGAATCAGTAGGATGAGTCCATTCTTGTTCAGATTTTTTAAAACAGTTTTTTTTCATCTTTTGGTGTGGTAATTCTTTTGTCTAAGGCCTAATAATTTCACAGCTGTATTCTATTCTATTCATTCACATAAACTCAAAGAGGTCAGAATGGAGGAGTTCTACTCATCAAAGCCTGACCTATCACCTTAGAATTATCCTTCAATCTATTTTAATTATGATGATAGACGAAAGAACTTTTCTCCAGGAAAAAAAGTGATAAATGTTTTAATGTCACACATGTCACGTAGTCTTATTTCTTACTTGAAATTATTATTATTATTATTACTGATCACGTTTCATACACTTATTCCCACTGATGAATTTGAATAAAGCATAGCAGCTATTTGCACCAAATAAGATAGCACAAGCATTTATTTCGTCGGCTTCTCTTCAGCTTCTCAGAGCCCAAAAAATTCATCAAATTTATGTCCAGAGCTATTGCAAGGGAAGTGAAAAATATGATAGGTTGTCAGTTGACAGGAGACTGAAAGCCTAAGAGACAGAAATTACAAAGAAATCATCATAAATATCAACAGTTTCACTAAATGAAACCCTTGTGAACAAGAATCAAGCATTGGTTAGAATTCTGTTTTAAAGACTCAGAAGAATATATTCTACTAAGAAATATGTACGTTGGTGGCACAACGCTAGAATGCTCATTGAAAATGCGTGTGGTCCGGGGTTCGATCCCCGGCCGTTGAACTCCTTTGCCTTGCTAAGCCAGTAATAAGACTGGTATAGAGGGAAGCCTGGGCATGAGACTAGCACGCCCATCTTGTAGAAATAAACACAACTGCTATGGAAACTTCAAGCCTCTGATTGGAAGCCCTATGTTTTACTGAGAACGTAGAGGAGTAAAAAATGAAAATTCAGGAGAAATTTCTGACTTCAGAGATTTTGAAAATTAATGGTCACCTACAGAAATTTATTAATAAGCACAATGAAAAAGAGGCCTGTTGCTATACAATCCGATTACGAAGGTGATTATGTTTCAGGGTTATTCAAGAGAGGGTTGGATACTTCACTAGCCAAAACTAATCATATGACTGAATTGGTTCCGTTTTTTCGAACAACATGTCCTTCCCTGCAATCGAAAATAAACAGATACCTTTCATATGTCAGCTGTAAGTGTATGTACAAATTTACATGTATCTGTGGTAACAGTTAAATTGGAAGAACAGGAGGAAGGGAATACCATCCATCGATTCTCTGAACATGTAACACAAGTTCTAGTATAAAAGCACAAACTCTTATAATAGTGCCATTGCCAAGCATTGCGTCGATATGGGTTATGTGGTGGACACTCCGAAATCCTGTAAAATTATCAATAAACAATATAGTTCAATTCTCCCCAAGTTTTCCAAAGCAACTACTATCACACGCTCTAAACCCGATTAATATGTTTAAAAAAAGCAGTTATCAATCTTTCTTTGCCCTGGTAACTTGATTTCTTTACTCTCTCTTTTATCTGAATGCTCATCACTGAGATTTAATCTCTTCCTTTTCCGTTATAATGTGATTCTGTTTATTTATTTCCTTCGATTCAAATTTAACTCATCACATTTTTATGTAACTTATTAGTCACACATCATCTTATCCATCTTTTGTTACGCAACTGCTTCTTCATTCATCGTATCCGAACATTTATTTTTGTGGTCATGTTTGATTTACATTTGAACCTTCTCTGTATAAATTATATTAGTGAAATTTCTGTGTACTGTTGATTAATTTTGGATTGTGCTACCAACTAACATTAGGGAATATTTGCAAATAGAGGAAAATGTTCTGCACATAAACTTAGTAATTTGTTCAAACTGTGGTCAGCTGACGTAATACTGATGAAATAAATGATTATTATTTTTATTATTATTGTTCCCTTGGGTTCCTAGTGGAACATAGGGCTTCAACTGCACGTCTCCACTTGCTTCTGTCTTCTGCTGTTCTTTTCACTTGCGTCCATGTTATTCCATACTGTTTCATCTCCTCCTCACACGATCTCCTCCATGTCACCCTTGGACGTCCCACTCGCCGCTTCCCTTTCGGGTTCCACTCGAGCGATGGCCTGACACGCGACGTCACTCAACGGCCTCCTCAGCGAGTGTCCAATCCATCCCCACTTCCTCCTGCATATTTGTTGGGCGATTGGTTCTTGTTTTGTTTGTTCCCATAGTTTCTTGTTGGTGATTCTTTCCGGCCATCTAATATTCAGTATGGAGCGAAGACAGTTGTTGATAAAGGTCTGCAGCCAGTTGGAAATATTCTTTGTGATCCGCCAAGTTTCTGATCCGTATAGAAGAACTGACTGACTTGACGTTTGTATTGGAAATCCGAATTTTGTTGTTGATGCTGAGTTGAGTGACGAAGATTTCCAGATTGGTTTCAGGTTGATGAATGTGTTTCTCGCCTTCCCGATTCTCGATTTGACATCCTCGTCCGTTCCTCCTGTGGTTGAGACAATGCTCCTTTGAGAAGTGAATGAAGTAGCCTCTTTCAAATCACTTCCGTTGATGGTGATTGGTGTTGAATGTTGCTGTTGTTGTTGTTTGGTTATTTTCATAACCTCCGTCTTGTCTATGTTCACCTGGAGTCCTGTCTTTGCTGCTTCTTCGACCAGTTTGTCGGTTTACGCTTGTAAGTCTTCAATTTTGTGTGATGAAATAAATGATGGTGCAATCTTATTCTACACAAACTGTTATGCTTGCTTTATTCACATTAATCATTTTTAGAGAGAAGACCAGTAATTCAGCGAAGAGTCTTTTTTCGGCGAATTCAATTTCATAGCTGTACAGTCGCAAATATATATATATATATGGTTACTTTCTATGTGTGTGTACAATAAATCTGTGAAGCGAAAATACAATTAGTAAGTTTTTGGTGGAGTTACGTAATTAAAAGGCGCTCAGACGAACTGGATGTTGATATAAGGTGGTAATAACAAAAGTTATGAATTGTCACGAACGATTGTTAAGGGAGAGTTACGTAACAACATGAATAGTTTGATGAGAGAGTTGTGCTCAGAGTGTACATGGAATTAAAATAACATACGGAATTACTTCACAGTTTTAAAGGAATACAAGAGTTTTTAAATAGAAAAAAACAAGCCAGCAAGCAGACGTTGGACCAGATCAACAGAGTCGTTACCATAATAGAAGAAGTGGTTGGATAATTTACTATTGTATGCATAGGTTCGGTTATTCTTACTGGATAGCTAGGGCTTCTGCAATGCAAAAAAGACGG